TTTTTTTTTTTTTAGTTTCTTTGATAAGCATAAAAAGATCTTAGGTTTATCCTATTGTTACTGAGAAAAGAAAAGAAAATTAGAATGGTGAAAAAATAATAGTACTATAATTTATGCCAATTATTTGGAGAAACTAAAAACTAGATGTTCTATTTGAAATCATACGAAAAGAAATAAAATTATAGATTCATGAATTTTTATATATAAAAATTTAATGTAATCATTCGTATGGAAAACATGCAAGCATATATTTGTTATATTGCAATTAAGTATGTAGAAAATATAAATCTTTTTACAAATACTTTGATTTAATAACTTTGCATTCGGGTTATGTCAGGGTAACATCAGAGTTATGTATGATTCGTGTAGCCAATTTTTCCATACCGAAACTTACACATTAATGAGAACAAAATAATAAGATTTATAGAGGAAAAAGAAAAAGGAAAAATAAGGAATGGTAAAAAAGACATTTCCTTATCTTTCTCTATATATCTTTTTCTCTCTCTTTCTCTGTGTTTCTAATATTCGATGGCGAATTACGAATAACGATGGATTTTATTCTAGCAAAGGCAGCTTGTCGTCTTTCAAGACTAGAAAGTACATCAGGATTGAGGATGACAGGTTAACGCTTGTTCGCATATAAAACGAGCTAGGTACTGAGAACGAATAAGAGAAAGTGAAAGAGTGAGATAGAATAAAAAAAGAAGAAGAAGAAGAAGACGATCGAATCTCGTGAATTATTCGTCGACTGAAACGCGATGGAGAGATCTTTTCCCTGCACCACAGCCAAAAGGACTTTTCGTCCTGAAGCTCTGCCTCTTTTCCTCTTCTATGATCCTTTTTCTTCTTATTCCTTTTTCTTCTTATTCCTTTTTTCACAAACCCTTTTTCTCTTTCAGGACACGTATAAACGGGAGGGTGGATTTATACCGTGTGGCCTAGGTTGTTCGCAGAAGAGAAAACGCCGTTTCGAATGTGACACGTGAATGGAGCTTCTTTTCTCTCTCTCTCTCTCTTTCTCTTTCTATTGGTGGTTTGCTGGCTGGCTTGCAAGCTTTATCTTGGTCTACGATTCTCTTTCACTGTATATATACTTTTATATATATATATATGAGCACACACACACACAAGACGTGTCGGGAGGTAACGACGTATAACGACTTGACTCCAGTTCCTGAATTTTCGTAGAGATGGAAAAGTCGTTAATGACGAGAACCCCCTAGCAAGGAACTTGTACAACCCTTTTCCCACCACCACCTCCCCCTTACAACCCAGTCAGCCAGCCAGCCAGCCAGCCATTATCGAAGCAAAGTTGTGGTTTACTAAATTCTTGCGGTAGGTCGTTGTTCGTTGTATTGTGTAGTATAGGGACATCTATAGATACATATGAATGTATGTATGTAATTACGTCCTATAGGAGTATTCGTGTATTCCTTAGGGAAACAACACAACGTGTATTGTGGGAAGCCGTTAAAGGGATGCGGGTAATAGGAATCTACGTTGAAAAGGGAGGAAAATAATTGACGAGCTAGTGTGAATTCTCTTAGTTTTCCTCGATTAAACTTTCTTTGCCAGATCTCTCACTAACACTTTTATTATATATAAAGATTGATCTAATAGATTTAAATTCTATTAAGAGGATTATAATAAAATATTTACTTTATTTTATATAATTGTTTTCAACTTAGTATACAGGATGGTTTTTATCGCTAAGTTTTAGTGCTAATTTAAAGATTTATTATTTAGAGGTTATCTAAGTCTTTAAGTATTCTGAATTTTCAATGGATGGCGCTGTATTACAATTCAATTATTTTTCAGGTTTTTTTCTGATTTACATATGACGTAACTAACCTTGCTTTTTATATTTTTTTACGAGTATTATTATTTCATATATTCTATTGTGATTGTGATATTATTTTCTGTGTATTTCCATTTCTATTATATAAAAGAAATGAAATAAATATATATATTTAAAGAGAGAGATAAATCAATTTTCTCTAGTGTATTTTAACCATTTAAAATTCCGAGTAATAGCAAACAACGTTAATAATAGTTTGCTAACAATAACGCGTGATGATAGAGTATTCTTAGTGGTTTTAAATGTCTAGAATAAAAGGAAAGATATTTGTACCTGTGTGCTAGTGTAAAAGTGTGTGTGTGTGTGTGTCATCTTTCTCCACATCTTTCTTTAGT